AGGATGAGGGATTTGTATGGAGCATCGGAAGGGCCGTAGACGATACGCTCGTTATGTCCCCACATGATATAATTGCGCAGACGGACATACACGTCGTCCGCGACGGGCAACCGCACACTGCACGACACACTGACCCGCTGACCCTCGGTGGCTGTCAGGGAGGGCGGGTCGGTCATTGTGAAGACGTCACGGCGGCGCGTTATCTTCGGCAGCAGCATGAAGCGCCGTAGGACGCGAAGGTTGCTTGACTGTCCGGTGGGGGCGGCCAGACACTCCACGGTCCCGGTGGACCGGACGCTAACGTCCAGAATATTGACACGCAAGATGGACGATCCATATTCGCGGCGAAATTCGTACAGCTGCCCGGAGTTGTCGTTTACCGGTTTGTGTCCTCTGTAGATCGTTCGATTCTGGTGGCGCCACGCCACACTGTTGCCGTCGATGCCGGGGGGCATTCTGCACTGGAAGGTGGCATAACCTCCAATACGCGGCCGGTACACCAGGCTGTCCATAGCAGCATCGCTCGGTGCAGTAAGGGCCGTAAGGGTAATACGGTCACCGTGCCGGTGATGTCGCTTCGCCTCGGCCACAATGTCATCCACTGCACCAAATGAGCCGGATTAATTGGGAATCAACAATTCATTTAGAATTGCTTGTACGAGAAGTATTTGTGAATATGGATTGAAGTTCAAGCATAAAATAATTCAGAAAGCTATTCGGAAGTAAATTTGGAGAAATGATAAATTAATAGCATTAATAATGAACTGTACATGATAAATAAAATAAAAACCCTAGCGGGGCGTCCCCCCCGTGGGGACTGTTCCGAAGGACGGGTTTTATTACATAATAACTGCAAAAAACTTCTGTTGTGGAGTTTACTGGGAAGATTGCCTGAGTCATGAGTGCAAGCTGGACGGCTATTTTAGCGAAATAGTCTGCGGCAAGTGCAAGTGACGGTGACTGTGCAACCACCTCGCGTACGCGCATACGTGTAGTCTCGACTTTGGGTACCTGATTCCGACTGCCACTATCTCCAAAACTTGCAGCATCAGTTTTTCGTTGTCACTTTAACGAACCTTCCCAGTTAATGTTTCAGAATAGAGAATAAAATTTTAGAATTTTTTGATATTTTGAAAGTAGGTTTTATGGAGAACCAAGAAGTTAGTTTTGTTTTGGTTTCTCGTAGACTTAGCATAGGTCCGTGCTTGCACCCTATGCTATGTCTACGAAATACTTTCTTGGTTCTCACAAAAACACTTATCAGAGATCAAAAGCGTCAAATTTTTCTTTCTATCTTCTGAGATGTTGGTTAGGAAGTTTTATGGAAAGGTAAACGAAAACTAGTGCTTGAAACTTTGGATTAACTGACGATGACATTCAGTGCGTTCTTTCACTGTTCACATACATGCTCCACCTCTGCCTCTGCATCTCTGCCCATCCTGAGTTACAGCATTTCTGTCTCTCTTGAGTTTACAGTAAATTTCTCTCTATTTTCAGTAAACGTTCTGTCTGTCCTCAGTTACAACCTTACAAGTTACAATATCACACGACATGGATCCATACCTACAGGTATATATATATATATATATATATATATATATATATATAAACCTGTGAACGTATGCAGCGCTACGTCCTTCGGAAAATAATAATAAAATAAAAACTTTGACAATTTATCTGTTAGTTAAAAAATGTTTGAAATTGTCATAAAGATGCGATATGTGGATAAACAAAATGGTCGTTGACAAGATGGGCTGAATCCATCCAGTGTCTGATCAGCAGCTCGTAAGTTTCGTTTCTACGATGCCAAAGTTTAATTAAACCGATCATATTCTACGGTTTCAGTTCTTAATAAATTATTTTTAAATCATGAGCGGAGCGGTGGATTTAGAAGACCCACAGAAAAGATTCCAATTTCCCTATGTATTTCGTAATAATCAAAATTTGCTATTATTCAGTCGCGTAGATCGTTGTATGTATGTTACGTTAACATTTCTGGTTGAGAAATTGTTTCCTGTTTTTTCGCTTTTAAAAAATGAGACTTTCTACACGCTGTAGTAGCCGTGTTAGCCTTAGAAAGGGGAAACTTGATAAAATCCCCAAATAGGGCTTTCAAAAACGAATTCCTTATTAGAGCTTAAGAAATCATCCTGATAAAAGGCGTCTCCGCAATGGAAATTTATTACAAGCATTTGTCATGTAAATGGACATGCCGTGTTGCAGCCGGCCGTGGAGGAAAAATTGTAACAACAATACTCACAAAATTTGAGATAAAAATTATCATAAAAAACTAGTATTTTTTCGAAATTTCACCCACCATGACTGCATAGCTCATCTGGCGCAAGTGCCATGTCAGCAAATTTCTTTCTTTTTAGAAAAGAAGTGTTTTTAAAAAAGAACAGGTGAAATGTTCAAATATTCTTACGCGGGAAAGAAATTTTGCGGGATACAGGGCTTTGTGAGCTTTCACACAAATAATTTTTTCAAAACGAGTATTGTTGTACCCGGTCGCCAAAAAAATTATCTTTCTGTCTTCCGATGAACTTAAGCCGTTTGCGGTGCGATGTGTGGATCACGTAAAACAAACGATAAGAGCAGACAAATTACAAAATGATTAAGGAAATAATTTGAGAGCATGACCAACAGTTCGAAACTTTAGCCCATAATTTGAGAAGTTCATGATAATTTACGAAGTAAAATAAAAATTAATTAACAAGAATTTGAAGGTTATTGGAAAGGACGTTGGTGGTAACTGGATAGCTGGGTCGGGCATTATTTTAACATAACGTCGGAAAATTAAGGCCAGTGCCAAAACGCCGGCAGAATTTCCTGCCGGCCGAATTTTTGTGTGGTCAAAACGCCGGCCGAATTTCCTGCCGGCAGAATTTTTGTGGGGTCAAAACGCCGGCCGAATTTCTTGTGGTCAAAACGCCGGCAGAATTTTTCAACATTTTCAACTTCAAGTAGTTGTAATAAAAATACTGAAAAATATTACCTGGCTCGAGGTATACTTGCCGCGGTGTATAACAAAGATTTGGGCACTTTAACACTTACATTTACATAAGGACCGTTATCGGCACGCTTTTAGTGCTGTTGCATAGACAGCGTGCATAGAAACTCTCGGAAGAGAATGAAAAAGCCGCGCAAAAGAGACGGACAAGTTGTTCAACAATGCCACAGCGGCAGTAACACCGAAGTGTGATCTAGTCTGATTCCTTTCGAAACCGCAGTTCACAGCACAATTTGCAAATCATCTCGATGGCGGCCGCAGTCGCAAAATTTCGCGCTAAAATTTAATGGGCGACGTCGGGCGTAACGTTGATTTTACACCATTTATGTTTTTTTGTTTTACTTGTTGTTTTGTTAGTTTTTCCGGCTTATGATTAGGTGATTGGCTTTTGAAGGCGCAGTGGATACTCCTTTAATTTTGCTTATTTGTCGGACGATGGAAGCTCTTCCGAAACGAATAAAGTACATAATGTGTCAACCCTTTACTTTTTGCGAGGATCGCTTTAAGTTGGTTTTCTACCTATTTTTAACACCTTGTTTATCTGCTTTGCGCGGCTTCTTCATTCTCTTTTGCGAGTTTTTAGGCACGCTGTCAAAGGAACACTAAAATCGTGCCAATGAAGATACTTGTGTAATTGTATAAGTGCAGAGTCCCAAACCTTTGTTATACACCGCGTGGCAAGTATGCCTCGAGGCAGGTAGCATTTTTTAGTATTTTTACTTACAGTTGAGAATGTTGAAAAATTGTGCCAGCGTTTTGACCACAAGAAATTCGGTTGGTGTTTTGACCCCACAAAATTCTGCCGGCAGGAAATTCGGCCGGCATTTTGACCACACAAAAATTCGGTCGGCAGGAAATTCTGCCGGCGTTTTGACATTGGCCAAAATTAATGAATGAGTGAAACATGGGCAACACGAATTCTTTGAATAACACAGAAGTTAACTGAAAACCTAACCAGGGCAGCGTCACCGGCCCCCCTCTCAGGAAAATTTCATATTATGCAGGATGACAGAGCAACGTGCACTGGGGTATGCTTGAAAAATTAGTTTCATCGGCCATGGTCAGGAGGGCGTGGCCAAACAAAATTTAAAAGTTAAAAATTTACTATCTTATTAGCCTATGACCAAATGCATTGCTTCGTACTTTAAGCCCATTTACGATTTAATACAAACAACTTCATGTTTTAGCGTACGAGCTTACGTGTGCTGAATATTCTCGTTTCCGAAACGAACGGGCTGGTAGATGTTAGTTAATTATTTTTATTTGTAGATACTTTGTAGGTAGATACGTTTAGCGGTTTTCGTGCTAGCAGTATGTGTTAAAAACTGATAGCGCGAAACGAAATGGAAGTACGTATTGACACCTGCTGATCTAGCTCTTACAAAATATTGTTAATTACCACCTACAGGCCAGCTTCATAAACAAAAACATAGGCCCCGTACGATAGCGGTTAGGACACACATAGGCCTCGTACGATAGCGTATGAAGTGGCCGTATTAAAGCTTATACAGACCCTATTAAAGTTTTTTTTGTGTTTTTTCAATGATACGTTTTGACCTTAAATCGTTACGTTTTTATCCTGTAAGACACAAATTTGTCCGCTCAACGACAACTTTATCTTTTCGGACATCTTTTGTACTGGTGCAAAAATGTACTTTTTAACGATGGAATGTGTGTTTCGTATATCAGGTCACTGCCAATAATTACTGCGAATTAATTAGAATATATGTTTATATTTATCGGATGCTGTATACGTAGCGAATCATGTTATTTTACACAATTTTGGACGTTGCAACGGTATCAGCGCAAATATAATTGGCTCGAATTTTGTTAATCAAGAGCAATAATGAAACAACTGACAAATAATAACCTAAACGGAAACAAAATTAACGCTGCATACTGAACACAAGTACACTGTTAAAGAAAAATAATTCACCCTTCCAAAACAAGAACACAACCGCTCCACTGCAATGCGAAAATAAAACCACGCAGCACATTATGATATATGAAATTAAACTAAATGAAATGTCGCAGTCGGCTGTATCTTGTAAAAAACACTTGTCCAAAACTCGAAAGTCTAAAACCTTAAGAAAACAGCCTCTCCATTTCCGCAAAAGTGCGAATACGGTCGCTATAGCTTTTCCGCAGCTTTCCCTGGATCTTTTCCACGTCCAAGGTCTCAGTCCATCGGGATGCCGGGTCCTTTTTGATCATTCGTCGCTGATGTAATTTAACGTGATCTATAAAAAGCGGTACACGGTTAATTAAACAGAATTTCCAGTTTGATAAATGCGAAATCAGCCAAATTTTTACACTCGTTACAATATGAAGTGGTGTACGTTGACAAGTTTTTTATTATGATTTATGTATATTTGTGTAGGCTTTATACTTACTCCAGAATGCGAGCCAGTTGTTTTTTCCCAGCACCTTAGCCAGACCAACACCCTTCTGCTTGTGATTGTACGCAATGGCAAGGTTCTCATGGTCCATAATGGCCTTCATTAAAGATTTGGCATATTTGGAAGCGCGCGTAATCTTGGGATCCAATTTCAGCTCGTTCAGCTTGTCCACACTGATAAAGATGTCGCCGGCTTCATCGAGCTTTACACAACCGTTTTTCTGCGCCTCCTGCTCGGCCATTATGAAAGTAAAGGGAACGCTCTTGATAACTGCAAAAGAATAAACAGATAAATCTATGGAAGTAATCCAGTGCATGGGACAAGTCTAAGCCATCTGTTCAATATAAATAACTTTTATACGAAAGCGTTTTAAAGGAAAACGTTCGGCATGAAACGCCCTACGGTGCTATCGCAGATTGAAGGTTTTGACCTTGTCGAAGGATTTGTGTTGGATATAATGCACCAGTTCGATGAAGGCGTTACCAAGTACTTACTGGGACAGTTATGTGAACAGGACTCTGTCTTACGGCTTCCCAAATCAAAAATTCAACAAATTAACGAGCAATGGATGTCTGTTGTGATTCCTGTCATCACAACCGACCACCACGAGATATTCTTGAGTATAAAAGGATGAAAGCGCATGAGTTAAGATTTTTTATGCAGCATGCCGCGCCATTTGTGTTAAGAAACATCTTACCGGAAAACGTTTACAAAGTTTTTTGCCATGCTTCGCGTGTTATTTGGCTGTGCACGAAAGAATCTATCACGAGAACTGATATCAACGAACTTCGAACTCAGTGCCATGATTTCTTAAAGTCATTTCAACATTACTTTGGAATTGGCGAGATGAAATATTCTGTCCACTTGATGCAGCATATTCCATACGCGGTTGAACTGTTTGGACCGCTACATATACTATCGTGCTACGGACCGGAACACAATATTGGCAAGATTTCTCGACGCGTCCTCGCAATGAATAACACCGCTAAGCATATCATGAACAACTTTAATATGTTAACCACCTGCGCTCTCAAATTAAATGAAGCACGGAATAACAGCACAGCCATTAGTGCGACGCATCATGCGGTTTCCGCCGTACTCGGACTGTCAAGGTTAAACCATTTATCATATTTTCTCATGTTATGAAATCGCTGATTAAATTTTTGGCTGATCCAACTTCATATTTATAATTTTTATGACTGCATTTCAGGCTAAAAGTCGTAATGTAATATTCTACTTCCTAATCTACAACGAGAATGTCTTGGATGTTTTAGAGAAGCCGAATTTTTGCCGGAAGCTGGAGTATCCGGCGCCCGCTGCACATTTATCGGCAAGGCCACTCCCCTGCCAGTTCATCATACGGTTTATCGCCTACTGCAAGAGCGTTTACATCGCTCAGCGCCGCAAATGTTTACATTCCAACGTTGTAAAGTGGAGAATGGTATTTTTGTCCGAACAAGAGAAAGAAACGAAGGTTATTTGCGGAACGAGTGCATAGTGTGTACGGACGATGGAATTGTTATCGCAGTGGATCACGTGATTGCTGTTGTAGACGACCGCTGCGTGATCATAACCGATTCATTCGTATCCGGTCATTTGTTATTACGTAATGATAATTGCGGTCCTGTAGCCGGCACACGGGAAGCGAAAATTGACCACATTTTCCCAGCCACGTTGGATGAACAATCAGATCTAGTGCTTTTCGAGACGAAGTCCATAAGTAAACAGATGGTATTGCTACGGCCACCTAAAGATGGAATGTACATAGTTAGCCCGCCGTCAAATCAGTTTAGGTTATCGTGATTAGAATATGCGCAATCTGAAATTTAGAAATTAATACAGTACATCGTCTGCTATATCAAGCGCGCTTAACGGCAATGTTTTGTTATCTTCGTTACTTACGCTAATTATTTTTCTGCTCAAGAATTGCCGATATCCGACATAATTTTCTTGTGGGGAACTTTTTTTGTGTGCTGACGATGAATTTGTCGTTAAAACACAAATGTTTAATCTGATCCAGATAAAGAAGTACTGTGTGCACGTTAGCATGTCCGCATGGAACGTGACTTTCGTGAAACGTTATGCAAAAGTATCTACCGCATCAGTTTTTTCGTGCCTCACTCAGCCAGAACGCATAAGTATGTCTGATAACACAGAAACTATTAATAGGGAGATGTACATAAGTATTAAAGTACAAGGCATGCATTGGCTACAGCATAGGAAATCTTTGATTTTCAGATTCTATTTAGCCACGCCTTATTGACCATGGCAGATGAAATTATTTGCCCTCTCATCCTGCAAAAAAATTAGATTGTTCTGAGAGGGGGCCGGTGACGCTGCCCTGGTAAGTAGAGAAAATCAGGAAGGTAATCTGATGGCTTCGAGGATTCTTTGCAAGATTTCAAAAAACTTAAACAATCAAACAAATTTTTAAAAAAAATAGCTTATGGGACTAATATGAACATATTAAATATTATTAAACTGAAAGTTTGGAAAACAGGCTAAGAAACCTGATTGCTTGGAAATTTTGAGATCGTTTTCGAAACAACATGGAAAATAACTTCAAAATAACTGAAATTAAATGGGAGAAAATTTGCAGTTTCATTATTTTGATATTTTCACGAATGCGGAAGACAGCTTGAAATTAATTCCAACATCGGGAACTAATTTGGAAATAGATGAAAAAAAGTCTGGATCCTTTAAAAATTTGGGAGGAAATGAATTCTGGAGCTGCGTAAAATTTTCCCACATAAGCTGGTAGCACAGATAGGTCAAACTGGCCTCGTAGACATTGTGCGATAGCGGTATACGTGTAATGCGGTGCATTGTTCATAGGCTACAGCGCATTGTAGAATTAACTTTAAATCACTTTTCTGGCCGCGCCCATTGGCCATGGCTCACTAAATCAGTTTTTTAAGCATCCTACAGAGTACATATTCGTTCTACCATTCTGCAGAAAACGAAATTTTTCTCAAAGGATAGCATGAAATGTTGCCTGGTTACTGGTTAGCTCATATTCTCGTACAAATCACAAAGCTAAAATTGCGTTCCCGTTTGGTTATAGAGTGACTTACAGGTGCCTGGATGATTTGCCGGTGGACATCCTGTACATAACTGCAGCACTAACAGCAAAACACAGCGTACTGCAGCACAAATTGCGTAAGCACAGGTTTAACGTGCGCAGACATAATGCAAAAATTATTTGAACATATATGACCGCTAAACATAACTTAACCAATTTCCAGGAATCCCAGTTCAGAAAATATTGTGTGTTGGCGTAGCCAGTAAATGGCGTAGCGAAGTAATGCCGAAAACAGCCAGATGGAGTGACGGCAGATAGAACATTACTGCAGGTTTCAATGCGCCAACACAGTGTATACACGACCGGTCGTGTGGTCAGCGTTAGAAAAGAATAATAATTAATTTTTTTCTACCCGCTAATCGAAGATCGGGGCACGTTCACGCACACATTTTGCTCGCTTTCGGCGTGTGTAACGCTAATGGACAGTGGACCCAGAAACGGCGTCGTCCATAGAAAGGCATTGCTTCGTCTACATACGTATCGGTAATAACAGCAGTGGAGCATACGATATTTCGCGCATTGGTGGTAACTGGATGGAGTAAAGACATAATCGGAAAGAGCCTTCACAAAGCACACAACTGATAAGAATTGTCACACTGTTATTGAAAAGCTCTATAGCTTGCCGGCATACGTTATTGGCGGCACAATTATCGGCCCGCTTCAGCAGCTGGGCGGAATGCATGCAGTACGCGCAGTTTTTTGTTGAATTAATGTTTTATGCCGCGCGTTTCCATTATAAGCACCGTGACAGTTGTTGTGATATTATCGAAATAAATTACTAATGTCGACTGCTTTACTGTGGACTCAGCGAAGTATGACAACAGGATTAAAAACCAGAAAAGCAGCGGAGATTATTACAGTAAGAAAAAAGGCAAGAAAAGGGGCGGCCGGGAATTGGAGCCGGGACGTCCTCTACCCGAAACAGGGATCATCCCGCATCTTCGCACACGCTGGACTTTACCACTACTTTTCCAATTATCACCTTTATTTTTGTAAAAACTACGCGGGAAATAGCCATAATAAAATTAATTAATTTATTATGGTTATTAATTTATTTTTTTTATTTTTATTATTTAAAATTAATTAATTTTATTTTATTAAATAATTTTTTTAATTTTTTTTTATCTTTACTAGACTGAACAGCCAATACATAGAAATTATCGCACGCAATGGACGGCATTCCTCGTACACAGATTTCTCCGTTGTACAAGCCGGGTGATTTATTTCCTGCGTTAAATTACAGCCAAAGATATACTTCTATAGGGGGAATCTAACTGCTGAGGCCATCACTCCCTGTACTTGTTGCCGTCACCCGGCTGAAGTGTGACGTTACGGCAATACACACGGCTAAATCAGGCGCGGTACATAAGCACCATGTTTAGCCACAGGGAGTGCTGGCCTCAGCAGTTGAATTCCCCTTATAGATTCATAGACTGCACTAAGCTCCGTACCACGGCCCGCCATGTTACGTGCACTCTTTGTTTGCCACGGCTGGTGCTTTTCACATGTATTTGACATGCATCCGCCAAGGCAATTGCGCGTAACGCGTAAATATCGGTATCGTATCAACGTACGAGTATGTACCGGCTACCGCATAACCAAAGAATTCTCAATGGAATTTATTTATCATAATGTTTATTTGTTAATCGTAAAATAAAATTAGCGACTACAATAACTGTATTGTAGTAACTGTTTATTAAGAGACAGTTATGCTGGTATCATGTACACTGCACATTTTCAGTGAGTTTCAGTGATTTTTCAGTGGTTACCAATTTGACTAGTTAAAATAGAGACAGCATCGCGGCTGAATATGTACACGTACTAGTTACGTACTACCATCTTTAAGCAAGAAATTAATTCCCCAAAAGTGATTTTTTTTCTGTTGGATTACCAATCGGAAATGGAGACCTGTGCGGGGCATGTCTAACTGCTTAGGGGGGGTATAATATTTATATGATTAATGGCAGCAGCATTACCTGCAGCATACCGCCTGCATCCAGACCGACCGGCAGACGCTGATAATCCACACCAACGCCTCCGAGCTGACGGTCACCGGCACAGTATCTGAACCCTGACGCTGCACATGACTTGGCCGGAACACACAAAAGCCAAGCTGGAATTCTTGACGCAGTCTGGAACTACCTAATGGTGCTTCTACACCCTCCGATCCGGTTTAAGGAAGCCGGCTGCTTCCCGCATTGCCTCAGATGCGGCAACGTTAAATACAGTATGCTTGTCGTTATAAGAAAATTTCTTGTAATTCGATGAGCCCGAGATAGTCGTTCACAATATGTCATAATCATGATAATCGTAATCATAATCATTATACATATGTTATAATATTCATAATACAGTATGTGGTTGTTTTTGTCAACGAAATATATGTATAAAAATATATGTTTATAATTTCCAAACCAAACATAAGCATGGCTGTATGTGTATTAGTTTGCCGTTCATGCGTCCCTTACTTGTCCCATCCTTCTGGTCATATTTAGGAAATTCGTGGGTATGCTGGCCGA